AGGAGGGGGAGGGTCCTCGGCTGGCGCACACAACACGTCGATTTCCTCCAAGGGAGGGTCATAGAGATTCCTGCATATGGTGGACACACAGGAAAGTGGTCAGTGTGAGAGAGGTAGGGACGGGGGCAGCACACAGCATGAGCGTACCTGAGGAGGCATCTGAGCCTCATGCTTTGCAGCAGAGGTGTGAACGCATCCCACTGCTCCAGACCGAATGTGTGCATGAGCAGCGTCAGGTGGACAGACAGGGGGAAGGCTTGTGAGGACATCTGCGCAATTTCCACAGCGATCCGCAGCTGCTTCTCTGTCATTTTGGTGGTCTCGTCTTCATTTTCAACTGCTGCAGGGGCATCTGAGCTCAGCAATCACCAGAGAGACATGTGGTATGTGTGTGTGTGTTAATGTGTGCGTGTGTGGCATCATGCTGATCCATCCATCTCTCTCACCTTCATTGCTCTCATCGGCTGCTGCAGGTGGCGGAATTGGCTGCCTCAGGTATGCTTCTGCTTTGTCTGCCGCCTCGCTCATCCGACGCATGTGCACCTCCACATAAGGCATGATCGCACCCACCAACGTGATCTGCACACAGGCAAACGAGTGCGAGAGCCTCAACTTGCAGGCCTGCCTCCATCTGACACTCACCTGTTTCTCTTTGACTTCATCTGACGTCAGCCGCTTCCCCGTGTCATCTTGCTGTGCGGGCGGCTGACCTCCCTTGGCTTTGGCCTTTGGCTCGGCTTTCGGGGCGGCTTTGGCCTTTGCCTTTGCCTTTGGGTCTGGGGGTGCCTGTTTCTCGTCCTCTTCTTCCGCAGGGGGCGTTGCGGGGGACTCCTCAGGCAGCTCGAATGGCTCTACCTGCGGACAGATATAAAGAAGGTATCATGAAATGATGATCCTTCTTCTGCGTGTGGTTTGGCTCACCGGTTGTGAAGGGGGCATGATCCGGTTATCAAAGTGCCCCCCCATCCCCATGCACTCCACCACCCACCCCACCAACCCGTCGCTCATCGCATCGGCCTCCAACTGCTCCACACCCGCAGTGCCGCCACCAGTGTCCACACCTTTCTTCGGAGGCGCTTTGGGTGCTGCCTTGCCTTTGGGTGCTGCAGCTGCTGGTGCGGGGGGCGGCTTGTCGTCAGGTAAAGAGGGAAGGGGGCGGGGAGGGACGAGAGAAAGGATGGACGATATCAGCGCTGGTGTGATACGCGGAAGAAGAAACAACAAAGACGTCTGGCCGCATCGCAGCGGATTGGTCATGTGTCACCTTGAGCATCGATTTTGCTGGCCCAGTACATGCCTTTGAGCTTCATTGCCTCCACCTTCTTGTCTCCCATGTCCAGCAGGGCCAATGTCTCGGTCGGCACCACCTCATCCCTTTCCTCCAGGCTCCTCAGCCTTTCCACCTCGCTTTTTGCGGTCTCAAGGGTCTTCAGTGCATCGAAAGGCTTTCCTGACAACAAAGGACAACACTCACATTCAGACATTGCTGTCTACTGTCGCATAATTCTCACCAAGGTTGAGCAGACAGGTTGAGAGAGAGAACGACATGCGGAGGCGAATTGGGAGGTACTGTGGGGTCAGGAGTGGAAGGGAGGACGCCATGTGTGCGATGGCGTATGCGAGAAAGGGCGGCGTGAGGTATGGCAAGTGGTGGACACACAGATAGCGGCAGATACGATCGATCAGAAGACTGGCGTTGTATATCACCTGCACAAGACAACGGAAGGATCGATACCTTAATGCTTAGGTTAGTGTGCAATGCTACCCAGTACAGCGGCTCCTTCACGTCCTGTGCCTGCTGGCCACATATCCTCAGCACTTCGAACAGGTCCACCAGGCTCCTCCTAACATGTCTAACGGCCCCTTCCCTCCCCAGCCACCCCTCCCGCTCAACCACACCCCTGTACCGACAGAACGCCCTCCCAATCAGCAGCGGCAGACACACCTCCAGCACCCGCCGCCTTTCGCTGTCCTCCTTCTCCCCTGTTGTCTTGGCTGCTGTGGCTAGCGCCTGCTGCAGCACGGTGTCTAGAAGGTGGCTGTACGGCCGGATGACCGCATGGTAGGCCAGGTGCCAGTCGTTGTGTTCGAGCAGGGCACAGATCAGTGTGAGGAGACGGGAGAGGAAGGGCAGAGGTGCACCGGGAGCCTTGTGCAGAAGAGCCAATTCGTACGCCTGTCGCAGGGTGCCGCATCGCTCCAGCTGCAGATAGGCATGACACAGCAAACGCCGCTCTGCGGGTAGTGGTGTGCTTGCAATGCGCATGGCTCACTGTGTCTTTGTTCGGAGCGGCGTTTGCAGGAGTCTTTTTCGTCGCTTCGATGACTTGATGTACCTTGAGGTCCAAATCGGAGAGGAACACCTCGCTCGAATCACTGCCGCGTTCACCCATGGCGACGCTTTTTTTCGGTATTTGGGCAGGGAACTGGGGGCCAAAAGCTTGCAAGCCCCCCCGTCTCAGATTCCTGATGGCATTTCTGCGCCCAGCTGCCCGTTTCCAAGCCCATTTCAGTCAGGGGGCCGAGTGACTTCTCTCTGACCGCCAGGGGCATCGCTTCTCCTTTTACCTTTGTCGCCTTTTCTCTTCCTCTGCAGCTGCACTGGGGGACCGATGGAAATGGAAATGCGGATGGATTGTTGGCAATTCTGTGGTGCAGTGCGTGGTAGACCTCCTGAGGACCCACTTTGAGGTGAAGCGAACTGATGAAGAACTGATGAAGGAGCTCACGCTGACCTTGCTGTGCGGCCCCTTGGTGTGGACACGGATGAGTGGCTGCCACTGCAAGTGAAGGCATGCCGAGAAAGCAGCTGCAGCAGCACCGGTCGTTGGCACTTTCATCGTCTTCATCACCCCGGGATGCCCGTCATCTGCATTGCTCTCAGAGACTATCGCATTTGGGTGTACTGCGGCACGATGCTCAGCAATCGGCAGGTGCGACATGTGACTGTGACCCAAGGGGGCTGCTGGGATCAGCCGGAGTACCGCTGTTCACCAGAGCTGCTGTCGTCGCGTCTGCTCGGGGCCTACAGCGGTGGTCTCTTTCCCAAACAATCGATTGCAGCCATTATGATGCAGCACTCGGACGCGTCGAGAAAGGGCGAGGCATCGGTTGCTGCTTGGGGCCAGCTGTTGTCCGCAGCCGGAGTACTGATCCGCCATGGAGCATTCCATGGACGGACACCTGTGGATGCGATTTGGGCATGGGGTGGCAAGAAGACCCGCATATAGCACAAAACTTCTCGAGGCTGTCGAAAACAAAATTCGAAGTTCGTCACGCTGCAGAAACACGCAGGGTACATCGACGGCCGCTACGAACGATTTCAACTTTATGACCATACCGATTTCGACTTTCTAGCCGTGACTCTTTCGCAAACGGCTCAATATCTCTATTTCGTTCCCATGGACAAGCTCAGAGTGCGGAGACTGGTGAACAGCCCTGGACAAACAAGGGAATCCATGGCCTCTGCTGTCTTCTTTTATCCCACCGACGTGTTGAAAATACGCGCCGCCAAGCCCATGGGCAAATCGCCTGACCTCTGGACGAACCAGTATCTTATCGACGAAGGGGCAGCTGATGGAGGAGTCGCACAGCTGCACGCCATCTTGCAGCCCTACTTGTAAGTCCAGAGCTAATGATCTTATGTCTCAAGCATCTTTCTTTTCCTCTTTCCGTTCATCAGACATACGAAGCAATGCAGACAGCTGTTGGAATGCCTTTAAAAGTGAGAGACACAGAGGCTATCGAAGAGCATATTTCACTCCTCCTTTCTCTCCCTGCGTATCTGCAGGGTTTGTTATGTGTGCGATGAAGTCACGCCATGAGTGGACTATCAGCATCCGTGAAGCGCATGTTAGCTGTGGCTTGTGTGGGAGCTGATTGCATATATTCGTGGCTTCTTCGATTGATGCTCGGATGTGACGGGCCATCAAGCCCACATGCTTGATGCTCTTATGTCTGGGGCTCCTCATTCAGCCTCCTTCACTTATCACGTGATGAACAGACCAGTCGAAGCAGACAGCTATACGGCCACACAGCACCGGCTGTGTGCACCTTGACACCATCTGTTTGCAGTGTATCTGCTGCCTTCGACACATAGGATGTGGTGGAGGGTGCAGCTGCATGCAACCCGCATTCTATATTGCTGTGGCCGATGACGCCGCGCTGCGTCCTCTGCCCGGCAGCACGGCCTTTCCCGCTGCGTCCTCTGCCCGGCAGCACGGCCTTTCCCACTATGCAGATATGCTTCCATGTCTACCTCTCTGCTGGCTGCACATGAACAGACACTGCGTGTGGATGGATGGATGGATGGATGCCATGCGGCGGACAGGCCTTCTCTCGTGCCAGAACTGATTGAGTTGAATGTCCAATCCATCATCCATCATGTACAAAATCGCTCCCATCGCAACAAGTTATGATGGCAACACTCAAATGTCACAGAAGACAAAGAGCTTCGCATGCAGCGTATCGGCAGCACAGCGGACCAGTCTTTCTGTCTTCATCGATCAGTCGCCGCTGTGCTCCACATCTGTTTTTGACACACACACACACACACACACGTGATAGAGGCCGACGTGAGGGGGCGCATGTGATGGATGCCCTCCTTTCTCTGTACCTCCGTTGCCTTTATCCACATCGTCACTCTCACATCCGTACCACATCAGCAACACCACTGTAGTTGGTGTCACCCCCCTTGCCATCCCCCTGCTGCTGTTGTTGCTGCTATTGCTGTTGCTGCTGTACTTGTCAGTCGAAGACGTACGGCGCCACCCGCGCCAATGTCGCACGCGCCAGCGCCGTTGTCATTGGGAAGCGGTCTTTGAAGGCATCGCTCTCACTCACAGGCGCCTCGGTCGTCACGACAGTTACATCCGCTGCGGCACACACAAGCGAGAGAGACAACACATATTGGTTCGGCGGATCTGCCTGTCTGCCTGCTTGTCTGTCTGTCTGTCTGTCTGTCTGTCGGCCTGCTTACCATTGTTGTTGCCCCAGGGGTCTTAAATGGAAATCCAGGCCAGGAAGAGATGTCTGTTGTCGGTGAGCACCAGCCATCGCATGTCGCCGTCGCCCATGCTCATCGTCATAGTGCATCCCGCCACTGGTGTGTGGGGCGACTGAAGCAGGAGGCCATCCAGGGGGTCGTCACCAACATCCCTGAAGAAACAAGAACCGACAGATGACTGACTACCCGCCTCTTGATTGATGGCATTCATTCATTGGTGCGTGTGGCCACCTGTTGAGTCTGATTTGTGTGTTGTTGGTCGGGTGAGACTGCTGGAAGTGGTCAAGGATCATCTCCTTGGCAAATGACGACACCGACGCAAAGGTGGCCTCAAACAAGGCCGCCCATCCGCCGACGCCACCGCCTACGTAGACAACGCGGCTGGCCACCGGCAGGTCATGCTCTAGCCTGTGCTGCTGATACAGATGACCGGCAGGCAGGGGCGGGTCGACCTCCAGCCGGAAGCCGGGCTCGTCCTTGATCGCCCGCAGCTCACCATCATTCTGCTGGAACAGCTGCAGGCAGCTGCCGTCACTGAAGTGGATGTGGAGGCCGACCATCTTGAGCTGCGCCAACACACGGGGAGCCGACACATACGTCTACACACACGACCACACAGACAGAGAGAATGAGGCCCTCTCTCTCCCCTCCCCGCCCCTCTGTTTGCTGGCTCACCGTCTTGTTTGTGTGTGTGTTGATGTCATCGGATGTGAGGATGACAGGCAGGTCACAGTTGCCGCACTGCCCCGCCAGCTCAATCACCTCGCCGATCTCATCCCATGGCCCCTCCTCCACCACACACACAGCCGCCAGCAGATCATGTGTGCCGAACTGGTCGTCGTCGAACCGCAGCAGCTGCACTTGCTGCCCATTCACCGCCCGCCGCAGCCCCGCCTGTGAGCCCAGCGAGTGGCCGAGCCTATCTCTCAGCTGGGCCGCTCCGAAGAGGTCTTTGAGCCACGTGCAGGTGGCCCTCAACCGCACGACGTCCTCTACGCTGAGCAGCCAGTAGGTGCGGCGGCCGACGAAGATGTACGAGAAGGGGTGCTGCTGCTGATGATGCTGTTGCTGATGCTGTTGCTGCATCTGATGAAGAGATCAGCGGGAGAGAACACGCCGATGAAGAGCGACGATCATGGGAAGAACATCTACTTGATTTGGCAGATGTTTGCGTGAGGGACTTCGGATCGTCCGAGGGTTTGCAAACCCTCAAACCCGAACCCCGGCCCCACAAGGTCATCGCGTCACCAATGGTGTGTGGTTTCATAGTTGGTGAGATTATCGTGTTGGGCGGCGTCCTCCTGGCCGCAAACTTCATCCCGGACAAGACAGTGCGGAAGCTGCTGAAGGGATACGAGGCCTTCGTGACAGGTGACCGAGGGAACACACTGAGACCACCAAGCATGCCATTGGGCCACCATGCACTCGTCTCTGCCTTCGTTTGGCTGGTCTTCCTTCAGCCATCCAGGAAGAGAACGCCCGTGAGGCTGAGGGCGCCAACCAGGTCGAGGCCACGCAGGAAGGTAGGAGGGCAGAGAGGGGGCTGCGGTTGGTGGGTCACGCACACCCTTCTGTGTATGGGCTGTTTCCGTTGTGTCTTTCAGAGTCGCAGAAGGGCCAGGGCGAGGCCAACGAGGCCAACGAGGATGACGAGGAGGAGGGGGAGGAGGAGAACGAGCGGACAGGCCTGCTCACAGGAGGTGAGATGAGATGAGACGGAAGGAATGGCCACTAAGCAAAGGAACGCCCCCGTGTCTCTTTGTGTGTGTGTGTGACTCAGAGGCCAATGTGTGGCCCACAGGGGACTCGGAGCACGAGGGACCAGCGACATCAGGTAGGAGGGCTGCACATAGCCATGATGGGCGTCGGGAGTCCCTTCTCTGCATGAGCTGTCTGTCTTTGATGTGCCTTTCAGAGTCCCAGGAGAATGGACAGACAGACGGTGAGATGAAAGACCGACCCGATTTCGTGCATGTCTCTCTCTCTCTCTCTCTGTGTGTGTGTGTGTGTGTGTGTCTGTGTGTAATCTTCAGAGCCTGAGTACAGAGAGCTCGTCTTCGTCGACCCGGTCCACTGGCACGACAAGGACATCGAAATGGAGAAGACCATCTAGAAATACAACCAGGAAAAGGTCACCACACCCAGACAACCGAAGCTCTTCACTCACTTCCCCACCTGTCTTCTACTTTTGTCCATGCGGTCTCTCTCTCCCTCTCCGTGTGTTGTGTGTGTGTGTGCGTGTGTAGTTGGAGTACTACGCTCGTGCGGAGGAGCGCCGCCTGTGCCTCGAGCGGCAAATCGAGGTGAACCGGTTTGAGATGAATTGGATGTACTGCATAGTCGACCGGGAGAACACCGAACTGAAGAACCAGATCATCGACAAGGACCGCAAGATCCGGGAGCTGGAGCAGATGGGCGACGACAAAGCCAAGGTACTGCACTGCAGACCACAGACGGACGAAGTCGTCTGTATGTCCGTTGGTTTGTGTGGGTGTCTTGTGTCTGTCCACCTTCAGGAATGCAGTCTGCTGCTGCTGCAGAACACTTCACTGGTGCAGGCGGTGGTACGCAATGGATGCATCGACATGAGTGCTCTTCCGCTCACCGACATCGTCTGCCCGTCTGTGTGCCGCAGGGAGAGCTCCTGTTGCGATCGCAGCCCACAGCCGCGTACACCGACATGGACACAGGCGACATCCCAGGTAGATTCTTTCTCGAGAGAGAGAGACATGGCCCTCTTTCACCTCTGTCCTCTGTGTGTAGGGCCCTCGGCTTCAGGTGGCTGTGAGACTGAGAAGGCAAAGAGCGTGTGTGGGAAGGAAGAGGCCGCTACTCAGCTGCAGGGTGGGCGGCAAAATGGCACGAGGCACTCACTCCTCATTGCTCATTGCTCATGTGTCTCCTTTGTCTGTCTGCTGTGCTGCGTGTCGGCAGCATCGGAGGCCTTGACAGGGACGGCCGGCACCAAATCCAACAGCACAGGTACGAACACACTGCTAACAACACACACACAAACACACAGCACGAGAGAAAACTGACGGAGACCTTTCCAATTCTCTCCTTTTTTGCTTCTCATTGCAGGGCCGATGCGGCCAGCGCCGAGTGAGATCGAGGGCACCGGCCTGGTGCGTCTCAGCGGCAAGACGGACTACGTGCAGAGAGGTATGTGCAAAGCTTATAAGAGAGACTCATGTCTCAGCCTGTTTGGTGTACTGTGTGTCGGCAGAGTTTGAGCCATCGACAGGGGACGGCATCCGGAAGGCCAAGAAAGTCGTCAACGTGGGCGTGACGGCTGACAACAACTGCAACACCAGTACGGACACCCCCACTTCACATCCATAGCTGACGCCGCGCGTTTCTCCTGCATGTCTCTTGTGTGTCTGTGTGCAGCGGCCAGCGCTTCATCATCCTCGGCCCCATCTGCTGCTGCTGCCCTAGATCACACTGAGGATGAGCAGCGCCAAGGTGTGTGAATGCACAGAGAGTGAGGGCAAGATGGCCAGTCAGTCAGTCATTTCAGTTGTCAGCATCGTGGCTGCTGCGCTGCCTTGTCTGCAGAGATCACGCCCAAAGCCGAGACCCGCAGCTGCCGCAAGAGGATCTCGAATGTGGGCATGAAGTCGTCACGTGGCCGCGAGTGACTATCAAGACCATGTCTGTGGGATGTGGGTGGTAGTGAGTGTGGTGTGGTGCAGGGAGGGAGAGAGGGGCCGTCGGTCGTATTTTCTCAGTTTGTCTTTGTGGCCAATTTTGCTCTGTCTGGCTTGGGGCACTGTTCTCTAGGTATAGCTTTGCCCTGCACGGAGCGATAAGATGAGCGTACGAACACGTGTGTCGTGTCGAGTTGGTCTGTATAACCGACCCGTACGTTGATTGATGCTCATCGATGTATTCATCCATCTGTCTACATCAGTATCTGCTGTCCGTCTGCAATGCACACACATGCGTCTATCGAGAGCCATCCATCCACATGCACCCCCCGGCACCCTCACCCACTCCCATCCCCATCCATCCATCCAGACAGACAGACAGACAGAGCACCCACCCATGGCTGCGTCTATCTACAACCCTCCCTCTCTCTATCTACAACCCTCCCTCTCTCCCTCCCTCCCCTCTGGCCTCTATCCTACTAGGGCAGTCTATGTGTAGCGCCGCAGGATCAGGATGAGGTGGATTATGGCGCCATCCTGCATGTCGTAGTCCGACACCGTACGACACTTCTCGAGCTCTCTGCAGATAGAAAGACGGACAGCCAGTCAGCCCACACACACACACACACACACACACACACACGTGCAGTGACGTGCGTGTTCATTTAGTTATTACGTGCCGCAGAAGAGCAGCCGCTGCTTGACGACCGGGATGCCCTCCGCAAGTCGCACGCCGTACTTGAGGTCCTCTACCGTGGCGTCTGGGCGGGCCCACAGCTCGATGGTTTTGCCCGTGATGGTCTGGCGCACACCTTGATGAATCTACTGAACTCCTCGCTGCAGCCGAGCAAACACAGACAGACCCAAAAGAGAGAGACGGAATGAGAGTGCTGAGTGCTGTAAGCGCCACACGCACCAAGTGGGCGGCTGTGTGAGGACATAGTTGTCCTGGTGGCGGCTACCTCCCCACCACTGCAGGCACACCATCCCCAAGGGCCACACAAAAGCCACCGTACAGCCCATTAGGGCATCCACCCATCTGTCTAGTCACTCACTCAGTCACTCACTCACCAGTAGCTGTGTGTGTAGGGGCGGCCGTATAGCTCTGCAAACTTGTCTAAGGCGGCCTGCCGGCGGCGCATCTTCAACTCGTCGCTGTCGTACTCGCCCATCGCTTCACTGCACGCACGTTAGCAAACACACACACAGAGAAACACACACACACACAGAACACCGCAATGCGCGCTCTGTGGTCTGTTTGTGGTGCTCTGTCTGTGTGTGCGTACTGTGGAATGACGGGTTCGATGCCGACGATGCGCGAGAGCGACATGTACAGCACCGGATCGACCAGCACTGAGTGCCACACCTCGTCGATGTGGGGCGGCACCGACAGGCGGCAGCTGCGGTCGTTCTCCACACCCTTCTGCACACACACATCACACACAACCACACCCAACAGCAACAAACAGACCATTTGCGCAGCCGCTTGTGTGCTGATTCATGCATTCATCGTACTACCAGCATCATGAAGAGGAGGAAGTCCCTCACAGCCACTGCAGGCTAAGCCAGGCCATCTTGCGTGAGGCGGTAGATGACCTCGTGCCACTTGAGCACCATGAGCTCCTCCCAACGACCCACCAGATGCTGTCAAAGGACACACACGGCGCACACAAGCCGCAGATCTCAGCCATCTTTCCTCTTCTCCGGTGTGCCACCTCGTGTGTGGAAAGCGATGAGTGCGGTTCTGGCTGGGCTCACCTCTGGTAGGTCATGCTCGAGGGGCGCCACACGCCCAGCCATCGCTCCCCTTCCTGAACGATCGCATATGCGAGCTCAAAGGTGAGGGAGGAAAGATGGCGGCCTCCTCATCTGCCGCTGATGATGGTGGTGGTGGTGCATTCAGTTCTCTGCCTGCTGATCTGTCCCTCTGATCATCGAACGAGGTGAGCAGCACACAGACCAATGAGCAGCATGCTTGATGCACACGATCCTCTGTCGGCTCTGTCGCTCTGTGCAGGCTGTCGTCGAGCACATCATAGCTACCCAGATGCAGCAACCAGAGCAGCAGCAGCAGCAGCACCCCTTCTCGAATATCTTCGTCGGCCGCCGCACCTTCTACCTCTTCAGCAGCATCAAGGACATCGTGCGGCTGAGGGCCACCTGCACCTGGCTGAGCAGAGATCTCTTCGGAGCGGCCCAGCTGAGAGATCGGCTTCGCCACTCTGTCGGCTCACAGGCGGGGCTGCGGCGGGCGGTGAATGGGCGGCAAGTGCAGCTGCTGCGGTTCGACGACGACCAGTTCGGCACCCATGATCTGCTGGCGGCTGTGTGTGTGGTGGAGGAGGGGCCATGGGTGGAGATGGCCGAGGTGGTTGAGCTGGCGGGGCAGTGCGGCAACTGTGACCTGCCTGTCATCCTCACGTCCGATGACATCAACACACACACAAACAAAACGGTGAGCCAGCAAACAGAGGGGCGGGGAGGGGAGGGAGAGGGCCTCATTCTCTCTGTCTGTGTGTGTGGTCGTGTGTGTAGGCGTATGTGTCGGCTCCCCGTGTGTTGGCGCAGCTCAAGATGGTCGGCCCCAACATCCAGTTCGATTCGGACTACAGCCTGCAGCTGTTCCACCACAATGGTGAGGTGTGGGCCATCATCGACGAGCCCGGCTTCTGGCTGGAGGTCGACCCGCACCTCCCTGCCGACCTCCTGTACCAGCAGCACAGGCAGCCACACGACCCACCGGTGCGTGAGGGCATCTACTACTGGGGCCATGACGGCAGATGGGTGTCGGGCCGTGGCCTGTTCACCCATGCGTCAGTGTCGTCATTTGCCAAGTACATGGTCCTCGACTACTTCAAGGAGACTCATAAGACCAACGTCACATCGATAGACCTGAACAGATGACAACACACCGACGGCACTGAAGGCAAGAGGGGTGCGTCGTTGACTGTGTGTGTGCGTGTGGTTGGTTCAGGTATGTTGGTGGCGGCCGTCTGGACGACCTGCTGACCGAGTCGCCCCACACACCAGTGACCGGATGCACGACCACAATCAGCTGGGGCGCTGTTCAGCGACGGCTGGTACTCACCGACAGCAGCCACTCCTTCGTCGCATGGATTTTCATCACCGGATACCCAAACAGCACCGGTTAGAGTGACAGAGAGGAATCGCTGCTGGTCATACGTCGCGTGTTCTTCTTCCCCTTGTCTGCAGTGCGTGTGCGTGTCGACACCACTGAGGCGGCTGTGTGTGAGAGCGGTCCCTTCAAGCGCCGCTTCCCGGTGACCACTCAGCTGGCTCGTGTGGCGTTGGGGGCGGTGGCGCCATACGTCTTCGACGGACAAGTACAGCAGCAGCAGCAGCAACAGGATGACGATGACGATGACGACCGTACGGGCACACACACACATGGATTGATGGATGGATGGATGATGGCCCTTCTCTCTGTGTGTGTGGTCTGCAAATGCCGACGAGGGCGGCGATGAGAGTGACGATATGGACGAGGGCAGCGGAGAGGGCAGCGAGGGTATAGGGAGGGCCGCATAGAGGCCCTCACGTCGGACCTGCATGATTTTCATTTGCGTGTGTATCCTGTGCCTTCGACAGGTGAGGATGCCGCAGCTGAGGCGGAGAGCGGCGACTGATCGATCAGTCAACACTAGTAGGTGAGCAGCGATTCACATCCTCTATCGCCATGTGGCTGGATCCTGGCTGGTACGTGTGTGTGTGTGTTGTCAGGAGGGTATCGCTCTTAAGCGCTGGCTGTCGTCATCTCTGTCGCCGATCTGTGTGTACGCGAGACGACCATATCGATCACTCTGTCGACAGACAGACCAGCTGCTGCTGATGGGTGACGGAATGGCTTGCTGTTGTGGTGAAAGGTTTCGTGCCTCTAATGCACGAGTCACTTCAGTCGGTCTGGGGCTTGTCCTTTTTGCCCATGCGTCGCTCTTCTATATGCGCGGCCCTCCCTCCCTCCCTCTGTCTGTGTGTGTGTATGTGTCTTCTCGTCCTCATGGCTCGCGGCCTGTCCGTGTGGGTGTGGGCGGTAAGCGCGTCTCGGCCGATTTTGATGTGATGTGTGGCTGCCTGGCTGACTCATCTACTGGCCAGACCTCTCCCTCTCAATCACTGTATGCGTGGTGGAGTGCGTCTGCCTGTGTGTGTGCTGTGACGGACCTGCCTGGAGTGAACTGACATTTGCACCCTTCCCTTAATTTTGTGTCCGTTACTCACTTAATTAAGGGTGTGTGTAAGCTGTGTGTCTAAGCTGTGGGCGGACGGACACCTATGGCCGGCCACACACATGAAAGAAAATGAAAATGACAAGAGTACAGGCAGGTGAACATCGACCCAGTGGTCTATCCCATCCTCTCATCTCATCTCATGCTGGACCCAGATGCTTCTCTGCCCTCCCGATTCTCCCTCCGTCTAATCTCCGTCTACACCACCGTCGCCTCTCGCAATCATCACCATCACATTTGTCTGTCGGCCTGCGCCATGATGCTCCACTGCAACATGATGAGCTGCGATGTCTCACGCACACACTGGATGAAGAATAGCATTCACACGCATCAAGCCATCCACACACGGTCTGCGATGTCCCCACCCCACCATCTCATCTGGCCATGGAAGTGCTTGCCCAGAAATCGGCCCTTCCTCTCCTGCCTCCCTAAGCCTCTGCATCGCCTCTGCCTCGGGAGGCCACAGAGCGTGCATTGGGATCCGAGATAGAAATAGCGAGAGAGGGGCGGGAAGGGGGAGAGCCAGAGCCAACCGCCAAAGGGCTCTAACGATAGAAGCCATGATAGACCTGCACGGTCGCAGCGGATAGCAGAGAGGCCCATACAGCAATGAAAGCCTCTCGCCCTTAATTTCGATGCCTCTCGGATCGCTGGCTGCATCACGAGCTTCCCCAGGCTGTCTTTGGCGAGAGAGGGGTCCGAGTGGGAAAGAGGTGCCGGCCCTTCATGACCCGCTGAGCATCCTCTTCCACTCCTCAGAAACGCCAAACTGGTGACTGCCGCCTCTCTCCTTCAGCATGGACCCGCCAGAACGTACAGGCAAACTACATTTTAACATCTGACGTCGTCTGTCTCCCGCGGACCGATGCGGGCCGGTTCTCTTGCCACTGCTGAACCGCCCTTAGTTCTTCGTCTGTCAGACGCTTGCGCCACGTCCCCCAGCCCATAAACCCGCAGATGATCTCCTGCACACACACACGCACACACACACACACATACAGGGGGTAATTAATCGGTTGGCAGGTCGCTGTCTCTCTCTCTGGCTGTCTGTGTGTGTGGCTGTCTGATTTACCATCGCACAGCAGAAGTCGTCTTGGGGCATGCTCAGGCAGATCGACCCGCCGATATACCCTCCCATGAAGTTGTGCTCAGCTGATGGATGTCACACACAAACAAATTCAGAGAGAGAAAGGCAGAGAAGACTGACAAGCTTGACGATGCGCGCCAGTCGAACCAATCCCCCACCGCCGCCACATAGATCCCTACGTTTGCTGATCTCGTCCACCAGGCCCTTGTAGAATTCGGCGAAGGTTCGGTCATCTTTGCAGCACTTATTGTATGCGTCGAACATCACACGCAGCTTGTAATCCACCAGCTGCCAGCACACACGCACCGCACCAACAGATGGATCCCCTCACTGAGTGTCTGTCTACTCACACCCACCCGATCCAGGGGCCGCCTCTCGACTATCTCTCCCAACGCCTCAACCTGCTGGTGCATGTGGTAGTCACACGTGCGCCTGACACACACACACACACACACACACACACAGAGAGAGAGAGAGAGCCATGTGCACTCCCTGTCGACGGCTGTCATGCAGCATACACACATACTGGTATGTCCAGCCCTTCTCAAAGCCGCTTTTGAAGAGTGCCTGGCCGGCGTAGTTTTCGGAAAAAATGGTCACAGGGCGGAACTTGTGGTTCTCGCTAAGCCACTCGTAGATGAAGATGTCTATGAGCTCATCCTTGTGCAGAATCAGGTTCTGGTAAGACGTCACACCCTGGTCTCGGTCCTCGGAATACCATTGATCGACCGACCCTGCTGTCTCTCCTTCTGTCTTCCGGCTCATTACCTTGGCTTGACGCCCCGGAATACGACGCAGCGGGCGGGCCACGCGAGCCATGACATGTAGCCGCACATCGGTGTTTGTTGGCTGTCCGAGAGCGCGAGAGCGGAGAGGCGACAGGAAGCTGACGATGCTGCTTGAGGGGCGGAAGGCGAGAACCGTCAGCGGAAACACCAGCAGCAGTACGTTGCCAACAGCCTGGATGCTGTTAAACAAGGTCTGCATTGTCCAAGCTGTGAGGCAGATGACGTCGTGCCATTTGAGCACCATAAGATCCTCTCAACGACCCGCCAGATGCTGTCAATCAAAGGACACACACGACCATCTTCCCTCTTCTCCGTGAGTGATGAGTGCAGTGTTCGGGCTCACCTCTGCCAGGTCATGCTCGACAGGCACCACACGCTGAGACCGTCCAGCCATCGCACACGCGGACACACGGAAGGAAGTGACGATCGCTGCGAACTTAAAGGCGAGGAGAGCACATTTTCTCTGATCTGGTCATCTGAGCATCCAGGACGATGAGGTACTCGAAGATCTGTAAGCACCAAGTTTGAGGACTCATCCCGGTGCTGCTGCTCCATGGTCCTTCCATGCGCCTCATGACGTTTGCGGTCGTCGCCGCTCTCTCCCTGGTAGCAGCAGCGACGGCGGCAGTGTCGTCGTCTGCCTCACCATCGGCATTCCTCACACCACTCGCCCAGAGAGGCGGCATCACCGCTAAGCCGAATGGACGCCTTCGGATGCGCCAGCACCCTCTCCATGCCGTCACGCAGCGATTCACGCTTGAACGCGGCGCTGAGGCCTTCGATGACATATCCGCAATAGCGGTAAGGGAGGAGATCTGCAGTGTAGCCTCTCTCTTTGAGTGTGTGTGTTGGTGTGTGTGTTTGTGTGTGTGTGCACAGAAACGCATAAAGGGCAAGGTCGGCCCGCCTCCGACCGACGAGGAGCTTTTGCAGTGGTTGGCTGACACCGAGGCCATCCTGATCCAAATCATGCAGGGCAAGAGGTAAGTGCTGTGCGTCAGTAATTTGTGCGCGCACGTGGGTCTGTCTCGTTGCTGCTTGCAGACCGCCTGGTTCAGACAGGGATGCCGAGACTTTCGTAGTGGGGGTGTCTGCCTTCTGTGAGCAACTACTAGTTGCGTGTGTGCCTTGATCGATCTGCACATACCAACAGAGGCCGGATGGATCCACTCATTGTCTGTCTGCCTGCCTGCCTGCCATCTCTCTCTGTGTGTGTGTCATGCACGCGCCGCACGTGTGGTTTAGATATGAACTGTCTTATCAAGTGTGGAAAGAGAGGTGACAGACAGACAGACAGACAGACAGACAGACAGAGACGGGATGTGTGTGTGTGTGTTTCTCCAGAGTTGGATTACTCGTTTAGACCGAAGGTCGCTGCATTCGCATGGGATACCACGGACCCACTGGCGACAGCGATCGAGAATCGCCTCAAGCCGCGTGTTGATTGATGCCTGAAGATCACTCACTGTGTGGGGGCTGTGCTGTGCCGTGCCGTGCACTGCACAGCTGTCTGTGACTTTCTTTCTCAGTCCCTCGGTGTGGTGTACCCTTTTCTGAGTGAGGAGGGGCCGGGGCCAGCGGGACGTCCGGGACGGACGATGCATGCATTAGATAGATGGGCACTGCCGTCGTATCATGAATTGATCGAGGGCGGATAGGATGCTCATGTGTCTGTCTGTTGATGTGCTGGGGTTGGTGGGTGGAAGACACATGCGATGCACATCGATCAAGCAGACTTACTTACAGGCACGCAACCAAAGACGTCGACCGTCAAGCTAGACGTCAAGTTCGACTGCCGCAACTAATCATCCATCACACCAACATATTAATCCATCTAAGAAAGCACCACACGGTGAGAACACGCGCACGTCACGAACGCTCATGTGTATGACTCTTTGTTTGTGTGTTGTTCGATTTCAGGGCGGTTGGTTGGTGCTTCTGTTGGTTGACCCATCTGTGTCATTGCAGATGGGTCCAAGAGGCTCACCTATGACCATTCATTCGATCATGTCACTCACACGTGTCGTGTGTTTGACCTGTGTCTTTGTAATGAGCGACGAGGTGAGGTGCCCCAGGGCTTGTTGGTGTCGGGCCATGGACAGTTCGAGTGCTACTTTCGGCACCTTTGCCCACATCAACGTACGTATACGCACATCAAAGCGACTGAGGTCTTTACACACGGATGGTTTGCTTCTCTCTCTCGTTGACGGTCTTGTCACTGACTTGATTCATGACTGAGGTGTTGGGTATGTGGGCCTTGCAGACGGTGGTCATCGACTGGAAGTACAAGGAGTTCATCCTGAGGCTGTACGACCGGCAGACACAGGCAGCCGAGAGGGCGGCCCGTCTTCCTGGCTGACCGAGTCTGAATTTTTTGTGTAATTAATTCGTCTGTTTTCGGATGGATCGATGTCACTTGCTGAGCTGCATCCATGCCGTCACCTTCCCATGTGTATGTGTGTGTGTCCTTGATTGGTGTATGCAGTGTGTCTGGCGGGCAGCCGAGGGAGCCGTCAGTCAGTCATCGACCAGCTGATGCTGGTGCTGGTGGTGGTTCACACGACTTATCACCCATCGGGGGCAGACAGACAGACGGACGGACGGACGGACGGACAGGGAAAGTGGGACTTCTGTGGGCGGCCATCTATATGGATGGCCATCAGAGAGCTGTTTTTGCTGGATGTGGTGCGGCCGTAAAGACAATTCAGCTCCAAACATGAGTCTTGATCGACATCATGTAAACAAATGAGAAAAGCGCGCCAAAAGAGGAGAAAGGAGAAGAGGAAGGAAGAGAAATACGCCGTTGTTGGTGCTGAATAGTGGTGCCTGAGAGAGACGAGACGAGGCGAGGCGAGGCGAGGCGACGCGACGCGACGCGCGAGGAGCTGGCCGCTCGGCCAGCGAGCGGCCGTTCTGTCGCAAAAGCCATCCATTCTCCACACACTGCAAGGTGAGGAAGCGAGCATGGGCAGCCACAGCCATTCACTCTGCCTCTGTGTTCCATCAGGTAGCTATCCATCCATGGATGATCTTCGACAAGCCGTGGCGTGGTGCGTGTGGGGGGTGCGGCAATTCGTGTGGCATCTCCCAAGCCTCATCTACGGGCTGACGGCATGGGCGCGTCTGCACCCTGCAAAGGGCAACCTCATTGGGCTGGCCGCTAGCTTCATCGGAGGCGTCATCACCAACACAGGCTACCACCTCATGCGCAGCGCCAACGATTGTGTGTGGTTTGTCGGTGTTTGGGTACTGGTCCGCCTGGGCAATGCCATACATTTGTGGGCGCTTTCCGTCGCCCCTGCCTCCACTGTGTACCCATCCAACGCTGCAGCTCTCATGGTGTCGCCATTCATTGGATACGTGAGCAACAGACGCACAGAGAGAGAGAGAGAGAGAGCAGTGTGCGTGGCCGGTTTCCATTCCATGAGTGTGTGTGCGTGTGTTTGTGTGTGCAGCTCTGTTTCAACGATAAGATCAAGTGGTTTCGGCACATTCCGGTGATCGCCGGCATGATTGTAGGCATTGCCTTCACGTCGCTGGCTCCATCCTTCGCCAAGACACCGCACAAACATACGGTAGATGACACCACTAAAGTGGGCGGGTGTCAACAAATGCAGCCATCCATTGCGTCATGTGTGTGTCAGGTCGGTTCTGACGTGTTGTTTCATCGCTCCACGGCGTACAACTGGTACATCGTCGTGTATCTCATCTGCGGCACACTTCTAGAAATCAAAAGATACGAAACGCAGGAGTCCCTCGAGTAACTGGACGAGACACACACTGTCACACACACAGACAGACACACACTTGAGGCTCATTTGTGTGCGGTTCTGTAGAGTGGCCAACTACTACGACACGGCGCTGTCCTTTGGGGTGATGCGTCCATCTGAATACTTCGAGCGGCTGTGGGGTAAATGAAAGACACACACACAGACACATACACACACAAGGGAGGGAGGGAGGGAGGGAGGGAGTGAGGGACAGGGAGACACACACACACACACGCATTTGTTCACTTGTCTCGTCCAGCCGTTCTGTATGGTATCGCGGCGGGACATTGGGGCTGCCAGGTCGGCCTTGAGCTCAAACAGACAATCGAGGTTGGATAAATGGCAGGCACATACACATACCAGAGACGTGATGCTCTCTCTGTCTCTCTCTCCCTGTGCAGCTAGGTGTGGAGAGTCACCGTACGCGCATTATCCCCTGGGGTCCGATGGGGTGGTCGCTCTTCATCTTGGCATACTCGGCATTCCTACAGGTACCCCTCATATGGACGCCTCCTCGCCCACCACTCACTGGTGTGTGTGTCTCGTCGTCATGTGCAGTTCGGGATAGTTGGTGACGGACTAGAGTACACGGAGAAGGCCACCGAAGTGATTACGGCATTTTCCGCCAGCATGTGCCTCTGGGGCACACTTGGAGGTGAGAGGCATCCACCATGACATCACACCACAAGCTCGTGTGTGTGTGCGTCGATATGTACATGCACATCGATCAAAGGGCTCGTGAAGTTTCATGAGATTGAGGCCCTCGGCGCTGCGTCGAAGTGGCTGCTTGCCCTGGGTGTGCCGCACTGATACACACATACATGTGTACGTCCATGTGTAATACTTACATATGCCTCTTCGCAGGGGTCGCCCTCATCGTGTTCTGCGGCGCGTGTCTGGCGTTCGAAATGCGCGAACTTGAGGAGATCGGGTACGTGCGCGAGCAGGAGAGCGTCTCTGTTTGTGTGCGATGCTTTGACGGTATGTGTGTTATGTATGTGTCTGCAGCATGTTCTGTGGCCGCCGTGCGTGTGCGTGCCTCCACTTCTGCGCCGCCAGGATTCGAAGCTATGCTGAACGTACCCGTCGTTGCGTTACATTCTGCATCGACCACATTTGCCAGTGCCTCCGCCGCCGGCCCACCTGAGCACATACAGACCAAGTAAACTGTCCAAGTGCACCAACGAGCCGAGCACGACTCACGGTCGTGTGCGTGTGTGTGTGTGTGTGTGGTTGTTAGGAGGGAGCCCGAGAGGGAGGATGTAGCAGTGCAGCCGGTGTATATCTGGGGTGAGGGTGCAGTGATGTAAGAGTGGCTGCCTAGTCAGTACGTGCGCTCATGATTGTGAAGTGAGGTACTTACTGGCTACTTCTCTGTGACGTCTGTGTATACCTCAGCAGCATTGCTTGATTGACCAGCCTGGCCAGCCAGCCCAACAACACAAAGCAGCAGGCGCATCTGATCTGTGTGGGACGCACGCAGCCAGCCTTGATCAGCATGCATTGAGGTTCCTTTCGTGTACATTCATTGAATGTTTTTCTCCACCTACAGAAGAGTGCTGCCCCCCACACCAGTAAGATACATCCAGAGAAAAGGCACCAACGCTCAATGTGCGGTTCAAAACACGGAGAATGAGAAGCAGGGGCCACCCAACAGACCAATAGCCACAATAGCTTCTTGTTGTACATCAAGGCTTACTCGCTTACTCGCATCCCCACAGAGAAACACCCCCTGTCTCCACACACCACACATCCCCAATGTCTCACTCTTACCCTCAAGCAAAGAAAAGTTCTTCCACAGACACATGGAAAGAACATCTAGGAAGAAGAGGAGAGGGAGGGTGGAGAAGGGGGAGTCTGTTGGGCCGTTTTCTGTGCTCTGAGTCAAGTTGGCCTTGCACACAGGGCGGGATGCGGCACCAACTTGGGGGCTGAGAGGGGCCATTTTCGCCTTGCTACTGGCCTGGCCAGTCGACCATCGATGATGGTGCCGTGCCACGGCTGGCCTTCATATCACCGGGCAGTCTGGCGTGGAGGATGCCGACAACCCTCCCTTTGGTATCCAGGCTGGATGACCTAGCAAATCGTGTCTTCCTGACCAGGTGAGTACATTTGTGCTAGCACGGGCCTTGGCGATGCGACGCTGCAGAGATCGGACGCCTGACTCACCAGCCACCCACACACAGACAGACAAGGACAGCGAGGGAGGGTGCTGTGTGCATGGATGTGTGTGTGTGTGTGTGCGTGTGTGTGGTGTGTGTGTGTGTGACGGCACACCTGATGGCCGTAGAGATCTCAGGCAAGCCACACCAGCGACGCGCACAATGAGGACCTGACACACAGCCAGATGGTCGTTTGTTTGCCCTTGTCTGCATGGCTTTGCCATCCTTTCTCATTGGGCAAGCGAGTGGGGCCGTTTCCACTTGGAGCTCCCTGGAGCTCGGCATCAAGCTCGCGCTCTCTAGGACATTCCGTGAAACCGCTCTCTCCCCTCCCCCCATCCCAACTCGGGCCTTCCTTGTCCAGCATATGTCGTCGCTGAAGCAGGTGCGCAGCGGCGAGTCTGCGTCCGCGCGCGACGTGCGTCAGTTCGGAGGATGTTGAGATGCCTATTCTGCCGCGCGCCAGAGTAGATGTCTACTATGCAGGCACGGAGCAGACCGGCACCCCCGCCATACAGTTTGAAATGCCGCTGCGCGACGACACCTCATTTGAGGATCTGAGGGGGGTGGCCCATGAAAGGTGGTGGCCTGCTACGACCAAGCCGGAGACCAGAAGCCGCCCGCTGTTTACCAAATCGTGCTTGCCGATGGCGAAGAGCCTTCCCTCCTTTCCGACCCTGTCAAGTGCGTATGCTTGAAGACGCCACACCACACATGCACATGTGTCACAACGTGTGCTTTCTATTGCACTCCTTCTGTCTATCAGGTCTGTGTATCAGGAGAAGATCGAAGCGAAGAAGACCATCAAGATCGTCATGACCGCACCCGCACCAAGTGAGTCGGACAGGGACCAAAAGACAAATGCTTGCGCCATTTGCTGTTTACGGTGCTTGTTTTTGGGTTGCTGTACCAGGACGGAAGAGACCGACGAAGAGTCAACCGCACTCAACTCAGCACCAAACGAAGCCAGCCAGCGCAAATCCGACAACCCATTCGAATCAAGGCGTCTTCCTGCGGGGCAGCGGCCATGGATCACGGTTTGCCTCGTCAGCCTCTTCCGAGTTACTGAAGCCACTCCTCGAGACAACGTGAGACGATATCTTATCGGCAAACTCGACCAATGGCCTGCACAGCGTTGAAACGAACCAACACAGCTGAGATGCTCCAGCTCCGCGCACCTCTCTTGTTCCTCCTGGACTGCATCGAGCTTGCGGTTGATCCTCTCGCGCAGCTCCAATTCAATCGGGCGGCCTGCTGGGCGGCTGTCATAGCCACCTTCATGGCTTCTTACATAGACATACTCAACGCGGCGGCCCAAAACCTAGATGCCCGGTGGGTGGGTGCACTCATCCAACAACCGGACGGCACGTGGAAGAGAAGACGTGGTTTTGAAAACTGGCTGCTATGGCTATGGCTGCGGGAGATGTGGGGGGTGTGCATGCGGCCGTCGATGTTTTGGTTTTCGTTGACCCTACTCGCTCTTTTCTGCTGGGGACTCTCGCACAGGATTCGTGTTGGATACTGATGATTGATGCACATGATTGATGCACAGTTTCTTGTGCCGGTGACCGTTTTTGCGTGCCTTGTCTGTTTCTGCTTCTTCATTCGTTATCTGTGACACAAGTACGGTGGACACCGTAGGGAAATATGTATGTCAAAACTCTGTCACACAGCTCTGTGCTCTGATGAATCAATATATTCACACTCATACCCAGATATCACCAAAAGCCATGCCAAATGCGACTTCAGTAGATACAGCATATTGCACACACATACGCGTGAACAGGCAGACAGACACGCAGAGAGAGAGAGAGAGAGATTGGCATGTGTGTGAGTGTGTGTGTGTGTTTGTCGAGTCGCCCGACGATGGACATGAAGATCGCCGAGGACGTCAAGCGGCAGAGCACTCTCAGAATCGTCACACGAGAGGGAGACCCCAACAGCCTCACCGTAAGTGACCAAACCACAGACACCACCACACACACACAGCCCTCTGTGTCTGTGTGTGTGTGTGTGTCTGTGCAATGGGTTGATAGGATTTGGACAAGGCAGCAGCCGGTGCGGCCAAGAACGTGTTGGTGCTGAGGGACACTGCGGCCGCCAAGGGGGCTGAGCAGACTGGCGGGGCGTCTGCCGTCCGCCGCCAGACGGCCGTACTCGCCGCTGTACGCGACAGACAGAGCAACGACCTGCCGTCGTCAAGGGCAGCAAAACACCCGCCGACCGTCGTGGTCAGTCGACAGACACACCGAGAGAGAGAGAGAGTGGGTTGTGTGTGTCCATCTATCTCTGTGCTCGGGGTGTGTGCTGTGCTGTGCTGTGGTGTGCCGCAGGTGTCTGTGCCTGAGGCGGCATTGGAGCAGCACCCCGGTGCGTCTGCGGCCGGCCGTTTCGCATCGCTGGCTGAGGTGGACACGGACGGCTTTGTCGATCGGCTGCTCGCACAGTGTGTCGTGCAGCCCGGACTCAGCACGGTCCGTCACCGACAACCTTACATACACATCCATCCATCCATGTGTGTGTGTGTGTCCATCTGCTGCCTCTCTGTCTGTGTGTCAGGTGTACGCCGAGTTGTTCCACCAGGAGGGCAGTGAGTTCTACATCGAGGCGGCCAGAATGTACGCTGGCGTGCAGGGCAAGACCTTCGGACAGGCGTGGAAACACTTCCCAAGGGTATACCACACACACACACACACGATGCTTGAACGACTGACAAGAGGCCATCTGTTGGTGCGTGTGTGTGTGTGCAGGCGTCATTGTGTGGTCTGGTCAAGGACGGCGAGTTGATGCTGTCGCCGCCCATCAGTGTGATGATCGGCCCCAACGACCAGCTCATCTTTGTCGCCACGGACGTACAAACACACACACACACACACATCCATCCATCCATCTGTGTGTGGGAGCGCAGAAAACCAATTTGCGCTACTCCCGCTCTGCCGTCGGCACACATGAGGTGTCTGACGTCAGGAGGAGCCGGAGGGCCACACAGGCCGAAATGCAGAAGGCATATCCGAGAAAAGTGCTCATCCTCAACACGGCAAAGGCCGACCTGACCACGGACGCGTAAGCCAACAGATACACCACACACACAGAGAGAGAGAGCACAGAGAGACAGAGAGAGAGAGAGTGTGTGTGTGTGTGTGTGTCTGCCATTGGGTATGTGTGTGTGGGCGGTTTGGCTGCAGTAGGAGCTCAGAGCAGACGGCGAGTCTGTTGCGTCATCTCGACGAGTGGGCGGCGACTTTCACCAAACCGCTCGACGTCACTCTGGTCACACCAGCACCCCTCAAACAGTAAGGGACCTAAGCCAATTCACCTCTCAACACACACAGGTACCCACCTGTGTGTGCGTGTGTTATGTGTTCAGGCGTGTGGGTCAGCTGCACGTCAAGGCGTTCCCCCGGTCCACCACGTGCCGCCGGTTCGGCAACCTGCGCATCAGGACGGTCGTCAAGGACCCCTCCACCCCCAAGACACTCAAAAGCGTCAAGGTGGCCAGCCATCAGATGGCCATTCCATCCATCCATCCATCCACTGTGTCTGTGCAGGCTGAGGACGCCGACGTGGCATTGCTCGTGCATCTCGACGGCAGCTCCGTCAGGTCAAGGAGCGACGTCAACACACAGCAAGAGGTCAGATGAGCTGTGAGGACACAAAGCCATCCTCTCGCTCTGTGGATGGATGGAAGGATGTGACTGTGGCTGTGGCTGGTTGATGTGTTGATGCAGCGTGACGCTGAGATACTGGGGATGCGGCTGCTGCTCGAGTCGCACATGAAAGACGTCAACAAACCTATGCCCAGGCACTGAGACACACACACACACACATCAATGGCACACGCCATCGCCCCATCCCTCCCTCTCTCCCTCGATGAATCAGAGTGGTGACGCACCTCAGCCAGGCCTCGAGCGTGCAGTACCTGCCCGCCAAGGCCGCCCCCCGCCCCTGGCGGCTCCTTTATCAGTCCCGCCGGCTGGCATCGTCTCCCACTTTGATGCTGAGGGCCACGAGGGGCAAGCTGCAGGGCGTCGATGTGATAGTGCCGGCAGAGCTCGAGAGCGGCGTCCTCGTCCAGATACTCATGCAGCCGGAGCTGCAACACATCTACACGGTCCGTTCGAGTGTGAGTGCACTAGATTAGAGGGAGAGGCGCATCTCTCTCTCTCTCTCTCTGTGTGTGTGTGTGTGTGTGTGGTTGAGCAGGAGTTGCTGCAGCCGTCCGGCAAGGAGATCTGTGTGGCCGTGTGTTTGGACCAAGTCACCGGCAGTGCAAGTTGCAGCGGCTGCCGGCGCCATCGTCAGGGCAATGTGACGATGACGGGCCGACCTGTCAGGGCAATGCTATCAGCGCTTCGACGACATTCCAAGAGGCGCCAGGCGAGGCACCAGCCTGACGTTGCGGCGCAGCCGACCATGCCCTCGCGCAGCACCAACATCAACAGCACCCCAAGGGCCATTTGAGGTGTGTATACGGCAGGTGCAAATGGGCTGTCTTCCCGGCGGGAAGACAGGCTGAGTCCGTCCGTACGTCTCCTGTACAACGACTGCATGGGCTGTTTTCATGGTGTGACAGATATGAAAGTGAGTGACGCAGAACTGGTCATTCATTGACTCGACCACTCATTGCAAATATGGTGTTTGACTGATGATTGATTGGTCTCCATGAGGGCAAACAATCCTCAATGTCCGTTTTGAGAAAGGTCTGTTTGAGAAGATTGCGAATTTTATGTCACGCAAACCAGCACAAGCACATCCACCCATGTCTGTCTGTCTGCCTGCCTGTCTGTCTGTCTGTGTGTCTGTGTGTCAGCTGCCCAACCCCTGCATGGAGTGTGTGCACGTACGACGTGCCTCAGAGGCGGCCGTGCGGCCATGTGCGAGCGGTGCCAGGCGGCCTGTCCGGAGAGCGACCCAATCGTGGCTGTCGATGTAGCTCATGGCCGCCGGCCGCTGCTCGTACCTACGTCTGTGCAAGGCGCCACGAATGCAGAGATAAATAGTCGGCTGGACTAGACAGGTGGCTAAGTGGTTAAATGGTCCGCTGGGCCCGTGTTTTTCGGTCGATTTGTGTGTGGTTATTTGTGGTCACTGCGGTCTGGCTGATGACGTGTGTAGCTGATGACGTGTGTAATGGCGCACACGTCCCGGGGAACGGTTGTGTGTTAGTTTGTGAGCAGCTGGCATCACAACGAGTGCTGAAACTTTTGTGATGTCCACAGATATTGTCGTGTGTGCTGACCATCCATTGATATCCCATCTGTACACAGTGTGCACGCCATCCATCCATTTGCCATCCATTGTCGGCCATTGACATGCACCACAAGCCCCCCAACCGCCCAACAGCCACACACAAAGCAAACCATCAAAACACAAACACGCACATGGGCGCATTCCTGGCTTGCTCATGCATCCATGCATGTTTGTGGGTCACTCAATGTCGCTGGTGTCACTGCCTCCAGCGGATGAGCCCCCCTCGTCCGTGTCTCGCTCCTCGGGGCGCTCCGGCACACACTGGGGGAAGTAGAGCCTTAGGAGTGCCACACACTGCACCACGCCATACGTAGGGGGGGCAAAGTGTGGCGTGAACGGTTGGCTTTATTGCTGACCCATCGGTCGAGCCCTTCCGTGCCGTGCAGCGCCAGATGTCGCATCTTGGCCACGCCGCCAGCCTGTCGTTTCCGCCCCCATACGCAGACACCCCATGAGCCAGACCGTCTTGCCCTCAATTGTGTCTCCTCCCTGCCCTCATGGTGACTGACAGACCTGGTGGACGAGGTCAGAGTAGGGGTTGTTCACGAGGCCGTCGGCCGCCTGCTTCTGCTCACCCACACTGCATACACACATGGATGGGCAACAACACAGCCACACAATGCATTAATGGATGCCGCCCGTTGTGCGTGTGATCTATGTGCTGCCTGACCGACGGCAGAATGCCATTGAGTGTCCTCAGAGCCAGGCGGACCTCCCCATGTTCGTTGCTGTACAGCACGGCACAGAGAGGGCCGATGCACCCACACTCAACGACATACTCGCCCTGCAGGCCCGTACAAGAGACAGAGACGCGCATCCATCCCTGTTTGTCTCCTTAGCTAAGGATTTACCTGTGCCTGTGATCCCTTTGACGTGATGTTGTACAGTGCCAGCGCTGCTTCGCCCTTACTGCCCGACAGCCGCTCAATCAAGACAGGCACCAAGCCCTCATCAATCACAGACTGAATGGCACCGTGCAGACCTGCAGGAACACATATAAAATGTACCCACAGATGGGACGCGTTGTATCCCATACCTGTATCTGCGATTGCGGCCACAGTAAATGATGCCTCCTTGGATATGAGCGGATTGGCCGACGCCAACATCGCCTTGAGCTGGGCTATGTGCTCCAAAAGGACACCAACAAAATGACGATAGTCCCCACCTGTCAACGAAGTAACAAATGTCAAAGAACTGACTCCGTGCCACGTGCTCTTATTCTTCAGCCCTCTGACCCTCGATGAGGCGCCCTAGGAGGCGCCGGGTTGTCCGCAGAACAAGCGCTTGTACACAGTACCCCCCCAGGTACTCGCAGCGGGACGGCAGGTGTGGCAGGAAGGGTGGCAGATGACGAGACATGACAGAGCCCAATCGCATGACCTCCATGAGCAAAGGAAAACCCTGGCCCTGGCTTTCTGCAGTATCGATGAGGACGCAAAGAGTCAGCAGCGCCATTTGCAGCAGGGCCCGGTCTTGATCAGCTGTCTCGACCAGCATCACCAGCACACGCACACACTCTGCCACCAGCCAGAGGGGCAGCAGCGGGTTTCTGCTCAATAGAAGCATCAGCAGCGCAACGCAGTGCTGGGGGACCCCGATTTGCCTTTTGGTCTTGCTACGCAGCCTCTCCAGCAGTGGCTCAATCACGCCCGTCTCCAGAATGGCTTCGCACGCCGCTGCCGAGTGACTGGCTATGTACACCAAGAAGGTGGCAACATGATGCACCAGGGTCAAGTCAGCGCTGGACGCCAACACCTTGACCAGGACGGGAATAGCATCGGCGTCCATCAGCGATTGGACGGCAACGCCTTCCGATGCTGAATGGGAAAGCCGTCGGGAGATCTCGGTGGCGGCAAGGATAGCGAACAGCGGCTGTCGGCTTATGCTTCGCAGCAGCCCGCAGAGGGGCTCACGGCGGAGAGACCATCGAAGGACCGCCGCCACTGCGGCGAATGCCGCCACCACCAAGAGCACCACGGTGAAGAACCAGCGTGAAGAACCAGCGTGAAAGATACAGGAGGAAGGGACCGCACGGGCTGCATGTCAGGCCCATCGCGGCGAGCGCAACCACAAGACAGCGGCGCCATGGCCAGCCCCACCATAAACTCATCGTTTCTGATTCGGATGCATCCAACTTGAATCTACTGTGGGGGCGAGAAAGGGAGACGGCGAGAAAAGGGGGGGAAACTTGAAGTTCCTCCAAAAAACAGCTGTCTGCTCAGGAGTCCGAAGCAAGGAAGACGGACACTATCGACTGTGACGACGCTCGGCTTTGCGTATCTGTTTGGATTGCCTTCACAAGACCCGGTGGGTGAGCCGACATGTACACGCATGAGAGATGGGGATGACATCGTGTGCCCATGTGTCGTGTCTGCAGGTGAGTTTTCGTGAGCCCTGGGTTGTACGGGTGGATGACGGAGCAGATAATATTTATGTTATGCCGCCTCGCCGAGATACACGCAGACGGAAAAGTCATGCTCGGTACCACAGACGCAGAAAAAACAGACACGGAATGACACGCGTCGAATATGTCTGTGGCTGCAGTGCTGGAGGGCGGGTACAACCCAGAGATGCTCTCTAAAGCGTCCATTCTGTTGGTCAAGGCCCTCCTCAAGACGAGCGACAGAGACGCCGCACTCACGCCAGAGGCATTCGTACTGTCGCCCGTCAAACCATGGACAGGCAAACCCAGCCATCGCAATGATGATGCCTTCCTTGTATCATCTGTTGTGTTTGCATCGCTCACCAGGGGAATTTCCCACCCACAGGGTGTTGCGGGACGATGGCGACATGAGACAATTGACATCGAGAAGATGCGCAGATTTATCATCTTCACTCGTGAGAAGAAATTGATCGATCAATTCAATATGGATGCCCTTTTTCTGTCTATCGTCAGCTGGTGAAGAAGCTTAAGCAGCTGTACGAGCGCTTCAGCCTCCTCATTGCCCTCCCCCCGCCCCCGTCAATGCCCAAAAACGAGCCCACACCCACTCCTCCGCCAGCCACCGCTCCAGAGACACGATGCACCAAGAAATCCGGACGCAGCGAGCCAGCCGCCAAAGCAAGGCCACTTATCAAGACGGGAGTGTGGTGGTCTGGAAAAACTCGGGCGTGGGCGGCAAGCTGGTACGAGAAGGGCGACCCGAAGCAGAAGGCCAAGCACTTTTATGTCAAGGATCATGGATTCGAGAAAGCAAAGGTACCATAGCCAACATCCCACCCAAGCCAATACATCCTTTCCTCTGCTCTCCTTGTCTTCCCTCATCACGTGTCATCAGACATTGGCCAAAGAGCATTGTCATGAGCTGAGCGGACAGATACGGTGGCGACGAAGAAGGGCTTGGAGTTGAAGCACCAAAGCGGCGTGGAGAGGGTACCTTCAAGAACAAGACGTGGAGGGCCTCCTGAAAGAGGGCGGGAAGAGGAAGCGCAAAGCCTTTTCGGCGCGCAAGCTGGGATACGAGGGTGCCAAACAGACGGCCATCACTCACCGCCGCCAGATGGAACAACGGCACCATCCCATTCTCAAGGGCGAGGCCATGCAAGACGACGAGCAGGAGGAGACACAGCCACAGTTGGCTCAACTAAGGACTATTATCTGTGTCTCTGCCTGTCGTCAGCGATTGCAGGCATCCCACCGATGAAGGGCGGATGCCATCGCTGTCTACATTTTATACTCGACGTTTGTGCTTCTGTTGCCGGACACGACTCATTCGGACCTTTTTGCTGACACGACTTGGCTAGACAGCTGACCAGCTGCAGAGAGGTGGAAGCGGGCAAACGATGCACATGGAAGGCCATGAATGATCCGTTCACATATGAGGTCATACACACACACAAATATAAAAGGTACACAGAGACACCCACAAGTCCACTTCCATGCACCAATCCTGCGGCCACGTCGGCTGTGCGCGACCTCACATGGCCAGTGCACCACCATCGCCATCAAAATGCTCAACACAACTTACGGCTGCCGTCCCGTTACCGGCTTTCAAGATTTCTTTTGTCAAACGCCCTGTCTGAGTGCGCGTGTGTCTCCTGTGCAGAAGCCCAAGTAACACTACTTCGTGCTCATGTCTCGTAGTCGTGAACAGGTTACCTCTCCCTCTCCCCGTGTGTGTCTGCCTGCCTGCCTGTCTCTCAACTTCGATGGGCCGCTGCTCGTTTTTGAGCAGACCAAAGGACCAGGGAGAGATGAGAGGCAGGTGTGACCGGTGAGTAGTGGATAGTTGAGACACGATATTGGCGGGTAGGACGCTTAACACTGATTGTCAGCAGTCTTCGATATGCATCGTCGAGTCTCACATTCAGCTGACTGAATGTTCCATTGTCACGTCATGTATACAGAGGCCTCCCATCCAGACGATTGCACTCACGAGATCTGACCATCGACACAGCACACAGAAGACAATTATGAGAACTAGGTGTCACCAGCCCATCGATACCTGGCCATCGGCTGTTTCTGCACGCACTGCCTCAGTGAGGGTCTTCACATCGGCCTCGAGTGCTTTCTCTTTATCCCGTAGCTTTTTTTCGATTTCCTCTCGGCTCTCACGACACCACTGTGATTCCCCCTCCCACTGCAGAAAGACAAAGACATCATACCCACTTGTGTAATCTAGGTTTCACTCATCTAGGTCTTTTCGTACGGGTTCTTGTCGCTGAGCATTCTCCTTGCGAATCAGTGCATTGGATCGCATCAGAAGGGCAGCGTAGCGTGCCTGATTGGTGTGCCCGCCATAGTCATAGTAGTCGTCCGAATGTCGAGCCCCATTGGCTTTGAGGAGGACGGCGACATCCTTCAGCTCAAGCTGTATCACCTGTGAGATGACACCCAGTCAGTCCGTATGTGTGTGAAATTCGATGGCATCCATCTCATTATTTTTCACCCGCCCACCACTTCGTCGAGAGGCGCCACGACTAGGCCGCCGACCAGCTGATGTCTGCCAAGATTGGGGTCTGCTCCGGCTTCCAACAGCAGCTCCACAGTCCTGAATATTCGATTGGCAGCGACAGCATCCCACACCAAGCGGCTGTTACTGTAGGTCTCTGTCTCGGCCATCACTGCGCGATGTAGAGGCTCTCCGTTTGCCATGTTGGGATTTGCCCCACTGTCGAGAAGCGTCTTGACAGCCATGAAGGCATCTCTTGTCCCTTCTTGATAGCCGCGGACGCCAAAGAAATCGTATAGTCGCTGCCTCATGCTTTTCCACCCGGTGTCTCCCTTTCGGATTTGATTGATGCGGTCGATGAGCTCGGCGTGTTGGAGTCCCGTGAAGACTGTAATCAGCTGACAACTGACAACCGCCACCGTCAGAATGATGTTGGCAATGGGGAGCAGCTGCAGCTGGTAAGTGGGATAGCAGAGGAAGAGGGCATTGCATATCAGGCCGACAAGTTTTTCGCAGAGTATGCTGGAGAGACGGGGCACTGTGTGCAGCAGTAAGGCGCTGGCGTCAACTTTGGCCTCGAGCATGGAGAGACGAATCACTATCGCAGGAAGATATCTTCGGGCATCATGTTTGGCCTCGATTGTTGCGATTTGAGAAGGGTAGAGGAGGCAGGTTTCTGTGGCGGGGCAGAGAAAGTAGAGGTGCCACAGCCATGTGGGGACCCTCTCGCTGGACACCGCGATCGTGAAGAAGGTAATCCAGGTGCTGGTTGTGTAGACAATCTCCGCAATCAGCACGTGCAAAAGACCCAATCGGGTCGAGCAGGTTGCGCAACAAAGCATGCACGAGACATATAGAAATGCCATAAAAGGAAACAGCATCAGCAGGATGGAAGCCCACCATAAGAAGCCCCCAATCCAGCTCCACCCCCAATAAGCACAAAGAGCACCGATCACCCCCAACTTGGGCCCCAAGACCGCAAGCCCCGGATCCTCTGGTCTTCCCGCTTTGGCTAGCTGTTGTATCTGCTTGTAGGCTGAGGCGATGGCATTCAGCAGATTCAAGGAGAGATTGCTGATAAGTATTCCCATCGCACGGCTTCGGGGGTTGCCGATGGCATAAAGAATGATCACGATGTTGATGAAGTCGATGCTGTCGTTGAGGACGGAGATGCGGCTCAGCACCGTGATCATCCTGACGAGCCACCGAGGAGGGCCGGGCCGGTAGAAGCGAGTGATGATGGGTGCCGGGGAAGACGGCCCTCGCGGGGTCGCTGCCTGAGAGTCCACGCCCGAGTCGATGAGACGGGAGTATTCGCCTAATTCGATGTCGCCCGAGGGTCCCTTTTTGCGCTGCACCTGAGCAACCGCAATGCACAAGTCGTCAGCAAACTGCTCACACAAAGGCTTCTCCTGCGTACCAGTGTGGCATTCATTTGGACGTACTCCAGGCACCATTTGAGGACGAGCAGAGCTGTCGAGACAGAGGCAGAGGCGAGAAGGAGCCGCTTGCACAGGAGGGGGATTGTGTACTGGGACGGCTCGTCGATAATCATCTCCCAGAAGGAGAACCAGTCGGTCACTGCACAATGTCATATGCAATGGGGGCAGAGAGGGAGCAATATACATCATGATGGGAGAGAGATGAAGATCCCTGCTGTTGCTTACGTGCCGCGAAGACCCCCAGTAGGATAAGCATTATGTTCTCTTCGAGAAATTTCTGCAATGAGACCCTTCTGGGCCCTTGGCTGGACAAAACCGACGATGCGAAGATCCGTCCATCAGCTGTTTCTGCACGCACTGCCCCAGCAAGGTCTTTCAAGTCGGCTCTCAAGGTTTTCTCTTCATCCTCTAGCTCTTTTACGATTTCCTCTTGTCGCTGTGGTTCCTCCTTCCACTGCAGAAAGACAAAGACATCATACCCACTTGTGTGATCTAGGTTTCAATTATCTAGGTCTTTTCGTACGAATTCTTGTCGCCAAGCATCAAATTCGCCAATCAGCTCTTTCGATCGCATCAAAAGGGCAGCGTAATGTTCATGGTTGGTGTGTCCGCCGTATTTATAGTAGTCGTCCGAATGTCGAGCCCCATTGGCTTTGAGGAGAACGGCGACATGGTTCAGCTCCGGCTGTATCACCTGCACAAACATGGCACTCAGTCAAGCCACGTGTGTGAATCTGTGGCATCCGTCTCTTCATGCTTATCCGCCCACTCACCACTTCGTCGAGAGGCGCCACGACTAGGTCGCCGGCCAGCTGACGTGTGCCAAGATTGGGGTCTGCTCCGGCTTCCAACAGCAGCTCCACAGTGTTGAAAATCCAAGCAGCTTCAGCATCCCACAGCAAGGGCCTGTCGCTGTCGGTCGCTGCCCCGGCCATGACTGCGCGATGAAGCGGCTCGCCGCACGCCATATTGGGATCTGGGCCAATATCAAGGAGCGTCTTGACAGCCACCAAAGCATCAGCTTTCTGATACCCCCTCTCGGGATAGAAACAGTGAGCTAAACGCTCTCCCATGCTTTTCCACTCGGTGTCTCCCTTTCGGATTTGATCGATGCGGTCGATCAGCTCGGCGTGTTGGAGTCCTGTGAGCTCTGCAATCAGTTGACAACTGATGACTGCCACCGTCAGAATGATGTTGGCAATGGGGAGCAGCTGCAGCTGGTAAGTGGGATAGCAGAGGAAGAGGGCATTGCATATCAGACCGAGAAGGTCTTCGCAGAGTATGCTGGAGAGGCGATTGCGTCTCGCATCACGATGGCTTCTGGCGTCAACTTTGGCCTCGAGTATGGTGAGAAGAGAGGGATAGAGCATGAAGGTCCCTACCAGAGGGGAGAGAAAGTAGAGGCGCCAGAGCCATGTGTGGACTCTCTCGCTGAAGACCGCAGCCGTGAAGAAAGTAATCCAATCGGTGATTGCATCGACAAGCTCCGGAATCAGCACGTGCAAAAGACCCAATCGGCTGTAGTCAAAGAGAAGAACTTCTGAAAGAAGCTCCTTCGGAATCAACCAGTGCGTCACGACGCCAGTAAGGATTTCGATCCCAATGGCGACGAGGAAGACCAGAACAGCACCATATCAGAAGACTCCTCCACAAAGAATGAAGATTGCCCAGATCCACGAAGCAGGGACTGCACCTAGCAACGCACCCATCGCCCCGCAGAAACACACTATGGGGGCCGCTATGTGCGCCCGCCCAGATAGCCAGCGTCGATTGGACGATTGCAATAAGGTATCGGACGGTTGCGCGAGCCCTGGATGCTCTTTCAGTGCGGCTGTGAGGTTTTGCGCCAGCTGTTCTTGCATCTGCTCTTCGGAGGCTTCGAGTCCCATGGCTTCGTAGGCTGAGGCGATGGCATTCAGCAGATTCAAAAACAGATTGCAGATGAGTGTGCCGATAGCACCGGCTCCTGGGTTGGCGCAAAGAATGATCACGACGTTGATGGAGTCGATGCTGTCGTTGAGGACGGAGATGCCGCTCAGCACCGTGATCATCCTGACGAGCCACCGAGGAGGGTCGGGCCGGTAGAAGCGAGCGATGATGGGTGCCGTGGGAGACGGCCCTCGCGGGTCGCTGCCTGGGAGTCCACGCCCGAGTCGATGAGATGGGAGTATTCGCCTAACTCCATGTCGCCCGAGGGTGGCTTTTTGCGCTGCACCTGACCGGCCGCAATGCACCAAAGTCGTCAGCAAATTGCTCACACAAAGGCTTCTCCTGCGTACCAGTGTGGCATTCATTTGGGCGTACTCCAGGCACCATTTGAGGACGAGCAGAGCCGTCGAGACAGAGGCAGAGGCGAGAAGGAGCCGCTTGCACAGGAGGGGGATTGTGTACTGGGACGGCTCGTCGATAATCATCTCCCAGAAGGAGAACCAGTCGGTCACTGCACAATGTCATATGCAATGGGGGCAGAGAGGGAGCAATATACATCATGATGGGAGAGAGATGAAGATCCCTGCTGTTGCTTACGTGCCGCGAAGGCCCCCAGGAGGATAAGCATTATGTTCTCTTCGAGGAATTTCTGCAATGAGACACTTCTGGGCCCTTGGCTGGACAAAACCGACGATGCGAAGATCCGTCCATCAGCTGTTTCTGCACGCACTGCCCCAGCAAGGTCTTTCAAGTCGGCTCTCAAGGTTTTCTCTTCATCCTCTAGCTCTTTTACGATTTCCTCTTGTCGCTGTGGTCCCTTCTTCCACTGCAGAAAGACAAAGACATCATACCCACTTGTGTGATCTAGGTTTCAATTATCTAGGTCTTTTCGTACGAATTCTTGTCGCCAAGCATTCTCCTTGCGAATCAGTGCATTGGACCGCATCAGAAGGGCAGCGTAGCGTGCCTGATTGGTGTGTCCGCCATAGTCATAGTAGTCGTCCGAATGTCGAGCCCCATTGGCTTTGAGGAGGACGGCGACATCCTTCAGCTCAGGCTGTGTCACCTGCACAAACATGGCACGCAGTCAGGCTTTCTTTATGCTTATCCCCCCACTCACCACTTCGTCGAGAGGCGCCACGACTAGGCCACCGACCAGCTGACGTGTGCCAAGATTGGGGTCTGCTCCGGCTTCCAACAGCAGCTCCACAGTGTTGAATATCCGAGCAGCTTCAGCATCCCACGGCAAGGGCCTGTCGCTGTCGGTCGCTGCCTCGGCCATGACTGCGCGATGTAGAGGCTCGCCACATGACATGTTTGGATCTGCGCCACCGTCGAGAAGCTTCTTCACAGCCACCAAGGCATCAACTGTCCCTTCTTGATAGCCGCGGACGCCAGAGAAGCCGTACATGGCCACTACCGCATCGTGTCCGTTTCGAATTTGATCGATGCTGTCGATGAGCTTGGCATGTTGGAGTCCCGTGAACTCTGTAATCAGCTGACAACTCAAAAGTGCCACCGTCAGAATGATGTTGGCTATTGGGAGCAGCTGCAGTTGATAAGTGGGATAGCGGAGGAAGAGAACATTGCATGTGAGGCCGAGAAGGCCTCCAACCCTCATGTCGTAGAAACGATTATCTTTGGTCGGATGGCGATGGGATCTGGCGTCAATTCTCTCTTTGAGTGTTGCGATTAGAGAAGGGTAAAGGATGAGGGTTTCTGTAGAGGGGCACAGAAAGTAGAGGTGCCAAAGCCACGTCGGGACTCTCTCGCTAGACACCGCAATCGTAAAGAAGGTAATCCAGCTGCTTGTTGTATAGATAAGCTCTGGAATCAGCACGTGCAAGAGACCCAATCGGCTGTAGTCGGAGAGAAGAATATCCGAAAGGAACTCCTTCGGGATCAGGCAATGCGTCACGACGCCAACAACGAGCCCAGACATTAGCGTCACCAGCATCAAAGTTAAGGCAAGCCACCAGAAAAGACGCCCAATCCAACTTATCCACCAAAACCAGGAATCACCCAGAAGGGCGCCGATCACTCCAGAAGGAGCATAAAGCACGCCGATCACGCCGCATGAACAAATATAGCTGCCCATACCAGACAAACGTCGAAGACGACCAAACATCATATGTTCGGGCTCACTCCAAAGTCCACTCCAGAGTCCGCTTAGAATTTGGTTGAACTCCTGCAAGCGCTCTTGCGAGGCTTCAAAAAGCCTGGTCATGTAGGCTGAGGCGATGGCATTCAGCAGATTCAAAAACAGATTGCAGATGAGTATTGCCATCGCGTGGCTTCGGGGATTGCCGATGGCGCAAAGAATGATCACGACGTTGATGGAGTCGATGCTGTCGTTGAGGACGAAGATGCGGCTCAGCACCGTGATCATCCTGACGAGCCACCGAGGAGGGTCGGGCCGGTAGAAGCGAGCGATGATGGGTGCCGTGGGAGACGGCCCTCGCGGGGTCGCTGCCTGGGAGTCCACGCCCGAGTCGATGAGATGGGAGTATTCGCCTAACTCCATGTCGCCCAAGGGTGGCTTTTTGCGCTGCACCTGAGCGGCCGCAAGGCACCAAAGTCGTCAGCAAACTGCTCACACAAAGGCTTCTCCTACGTACCAGTGTGGCATTCATTTGGGCGTACTCCAGGCACCATTTGAGGACGAGCAGAGCCGTCGAGACAGAGGCAGAGGCGAGAAGGAGCCGCTTGCACAGGAGGGGGATTGTGTACTGGGACGGCTCGTCGATAATCATCTCCCAGAAGGAGAACCAGTCGGTCACTGCACATGTGCAATGGGGAAGAAAGAGAGACATTATGACGGCTTGAGAGATAGTAAGATCCCTGCTGTTGCTTACGAGACGCGAAGGCGCCCAGGAGGATAAGCATTATGTTCTCTGGGAGGAACATTTGCCATGAGACCCCTCTGGGA